TCTGTCTCTGCCTCTGTCTCTGTCTCTCTGCCTCTGTCTCTGTCTCTCTGCCTCTGTCTCTGTCTCTCTCTCTCTGTCTCTCTCTGTCTCTCTCTTTCTCTCTCTCTCTCTTTCTCTCTCTCTCTTTCTCTCTTTCTGTCTCTCTCTCTCTCTCTCTCTCCCCCAATGCCACCCCCTCCTACAAACCGCGTTCCTTCTTACAGAGATCGCCGATGGAAGTTCCATGTGTGTGACATCCAGCATTAAACAACTCCCCCTATGACATCTCGGCTGTTCCATCAATGAACAACTTCCCCCTATGACAGCTCGGCTGTTCCATCAATAGACAACTCCCCCCATGACATCTCGGCTGTTCCAGCAATAAACAACTTCCCCCATGACATCTCGGCTGTTCCATCAATAAACAACTTCCCCCATGACATCTCGGCTGTTCCATTAATGAACAAGTTCCCCCCCTTGACATCTCGGCTGTTCCATTAATGAACAAGTTCCACCCTTGACATCTCGGCTGTTCCATTAATGAACAAGTTCCTCCCTTGACATCTCGGCTGTTCCATCAATAAACAACTTCCCCCATGATATCTCGGCTGTTCCAGCAATAAACAACTTCCCCCATGACATTTCGGCTGTTCCATCAATGAATAACTCGCTACTGTAGAATTACAAATTTTTAACTGACATAAACCTTTTTGGCCGCTTTGAGTTCCAAATACCATGAGGTCAGAAACCTTTCTAACTGCTCTATAAAAATCGTAAGATTATTCGGAGTCGTTATCAAGAGAGTCAAAAATTGCTTCCCCAAAAGGTTGACTTGATGTGCAACTCAAATTGTTTGACGTCAAAGTCTCAAAACTAGATAGTGAGCTGATAGAACATGTAATTCTAGGGAGGCAAACATCCCGCCATGACGTTTACGCTGTTCCATCAATGAACAATCCTTGTCATCATCATGGAACAAGACAGGACTGCTGATTTAATTATAATAATATTGTGCTTTCTTTTCTTAAGTTCGGGGATCCCACTTCTTAAAAAAAAAAAATAATGGAAAAAGAAAAAGTTCACCGCACTAAAACCCATTCCACAGCAAAAAGCCATTATTTACATATTTGGAAAGTTGATATTGTTTAAAGAAGAAGTCTGCAAATTATGAATGTGGAAATAGATTAGTTTGGTTATTCTACATTAATAAATAAACACCCCCCCAAAAACACACACACAACAACAACGAGAAAACAAAACCCCCCCACAAAAACCCCCACAAAAAAACAACAACCAACAAACAATCAATGGGAAAAGTTTTTTTTTCTTCTCTCTGTTAATCTGTAAAGAGGTATGGTTGCATTACTATCGTGAAATAAATAAATACACTATCATGAACTCTTCGTATTTTGGTGCTTTCTATGCTATCTGGTGTGTTTTGTGCATGTTTCTTTTAATTTGTTGTACGTTAATATGGCATGTTTAAGTTTGGTGTTCCACAGGGGCCAGTGTTAGGCCCCTTACTTTTCACAATATTATGTGCCCAACTACTTGCTGTTGAATTACGAAATCACTTTTTTAAAGGTATTGAAACGAAGGAATTACAATTAATATTATGGCTCTTTTTATTCGATAGGAGTGGGGAAGAAACGGAAAGAAAGGGAGGGAGAGAGGGAGAGAGAGAGAG